ATATACTGAAAACACTTTGTACATATATATGTGTATAAATTTATGTGTGCTATATAACTTAACATAAGCACACACACATACACTATATATATAATAATATTATATATATATATATATATATATATATATATATATATATATATATATATATATATATATATATATATTATATATATGTGTGTGTAATATACAAATATATTTATATATAATGAGAGCGATGATAAGATGAAGAACAACTACAGAATGATAATGATGATAACAATAATACAAAAGTAATAACAATAGCAATAAACAATAATAAAGATGATATAATTATAAACAATCATTACAATAACAGTAGAAATAATGATGATATAATCACACCAATAATTATTGTAATAGAACGATGATAACAATAATGATTATGATATCAATAAGGATAATAGTAATGATAATAACGATAATGATGATGATAATAGAAATGATAATAATAATGATAATAACAACAATAATAATATTGATAATGATAATGATAATAATAATAATGATAATGATAATAACGATAATGATGATTATAATACTAACAATATTAATAACAATGAATATATTGATGATGGTGATAATATTGATATCAATAAACAATAATGATAATGATGATGATGATGATGGTGATGATATTAATAATAAGAATATTAATAATAATAGCATTGATAGTAATCATAATGGTAATAATAATAATGATAATAATGATGATGATAGAAATGACAATGATAATTATTATTATCGTAATGATAAAATGATTTTAATAATAATAATAATAATAATAATAATAATAGCAATAAAGATAAGGATAAGGATAATGAAGTAATAAGGATGATGGTAATCATAATAGAAATAATGATAAAAATAACATTAATAAAGATTATAATAAAGATAATAGTAATAGCAGCCATAACGATTATGATGATACTGATGATGCCAGTGATAACACTGATAATGAGAACGATAACGATAATAGTATGGATAATGATGATTATGAAAAAAATGAGAAATACACTCAGACAAAACAGACTACAGTTTGTTTTATTTTCCTTTGATCTCTCTACTCAACAAACCTATTTATCTTACTCTAAATTCTTCCTTAATTAAATTTAGTTTAAATATACTCTCATATTACCTCTATAATCTGTAAGTTAGATGGTTATTAATAAACAAATTGATAAATTTTCATAACAAACTGTTTAGTAACTTTTCCGCGTAATCTTGTGACGAGCACTGACCTGACAAATCATTAACTAAAAAAGTAATTGATAAATAAATAGAGAGG